GTTGATATTTGAAATCACCAAAACAAACACGCCCCTACCCCAAAAGGGTCTTGCCCCTATTTTGATAGCTCCGCCCCACATATATGTACGCAACCCAGGCAAAGAGCTCATTAACATTTAAAGGAAAATGACAAAAACGGTTTGATCTGAAAAGAGCTGTTTTTGACAGGGTAAAAAAGGTGTTTTTTACACTACCATTGAGAAATTTTAACCAAACTATGTTACAGACTTTTCATTAAGACCCTAAAGAATCATATCAACTTGTGGAAAATGGGCATCCTATGACACCTTTAATGTGCTGCAGAACAAGCCTCTTGAAGCATTTCATAATGACAGGGGTCAAAGCCACTGGGCGATAGTCATTGAGGCAGGTAGCAGCTGACTTTTTAGGCACAGGTACAATAATGGAAAATTTAAGGCAAACAGGGACAACGCTGAGCTGCAGTGAAACGTTAAAGATGTCCTGAAACACTCCTGCAAGTTGGTCTGCACATCATTTCAATGTCCGACCTGACACCTGGTCCGGCCCCACGGCCTTGGTGACGTTGATTTTCCTCAGTGCAGCCTTCACCTGATGACACTGAAGTACAAGAGTCTGCTGCCGCTGTTCTTCAAACTTGGACAGCTGAGCTGTCTCTTCACCACCTTGTGAGTCGAAACGGGCAAAGAACTGATTCAGGGTGTCAGGGAGTGCCTGATCCTGGCTGAACATCTGCTTGCTGCCCCTGTACTCTGTTATGGCTTTAATACCTCTCCAGATGCCGGGGGTTGTTGTTATCAAAGTGTCCCTCAATACATTTCTTGTACCTGTGTTTAGCCTCCTGTATGCCTTTCTTCAGCTCTCTCCAGGCTCTCCTGTAGGCCAGCAAGTCACCTGACCTATAGGCAACATCTCGGGCTTTAAGCAAAGACCGCACCGTACTGTCCAGCCACGGTTTCTGGTTAGGAAACACTCTGATGGATTTAGTGGGCAGCACGGAGTGCGTGCAGAAATATAAATAGGCCAGAACAGACGAGGTGTACTCCTCTATATCCGCATTCTCTTTAAACACTCCCCAGGCAGTGCATTCAAAGCAGTCCTGAAGCGCTGAGATGGCCTCCACACTCCAGACTTGTATAGTTTTAACAGTCTTGATCGGCAGATAAGAGGTCTGTAGGGCGGTATCATTTCCAGCGAGATGTGGTCTGACATGCCAAGATGTGGAGATGCTGCAGCTTTATATGCCCCTGGGATGTTCGTATAGACCTGGTCCAAAATATTTTTGTCCCTGGTCGGGAAGTTGATGCACTTGAAAAATTTGGGAAACACAGCTTTCAGTTCTACATGATTAAAGTCTCCTGCTGCAATCACAACTCCCTCTGGATGTGCATTTAGCTGGCCATTTATAGTGCTGTGCAACTTCTCCAGTGCTGACCTGACATTAGCTAGTGGCGGTATGTAAACAGCTGTAATCAGAAAAACAGAAAACTCCTTTGGCATGTAGAACGGCCTGCATTTCACTGTCAGATATTCCAAATCCGGGGAGCAGTACGTTCCAATAACATTCGTTGCAGTACACCAATTATTATGAACATAGATACACACTCCACCGCCTTTACTCTTACCAGAGGCCGCCGTCCTGTCAGCTCGGTACACGGAGTCTCCGATTTGAAATTTTGTCATTGTAATTTTTTTGTTTTTCAAACAATAAATACCGTTTTGTGGCTCTTTAATGTGTCATGACAGATCACTGTAGCACCTCAGTTCAAACGGCACATGAACCAGTCGTCTTTTCATATTTACTTAAAGCACGAAATAAACATGAATGGACTTCATATTTACTTAAAGCACGAAATAAACATGAATGGACATCAAAAAGTATTTTATTTCAACCACGGAAAGACTTCAATACACAAATTTCAATTTTAAGTCCGCCAGTTAATCTACTCTCCTGTCTGATTTGTTTGTCAGACAAAATGGTGGATTCTGCGTTATGATTGGTAAGATCACCTGTCAATCAAGCTCTTTGCGAAGGGTCAATTCTGACATCACTGCAAATCACACTTAACCTACCCGTACCCCACACTATACTAGTATATGATATGTGGTTAAGTCTTTTAGCTATCTTAAGATAGTCATAGTTAATTGTATTGTTGACCTCTATATAGACTGGTGCTTAAAACAAACTCATAAGGAAAAAATATGTTAATAATAAATCAGCTTCATTCCAAAGCTTGAAGCAGTCCAAGTTGAAGGCAGCCCTGGAGTTCTCCCAACAGTAGACATTTTAGATGTCCCACTTATCTGACACATCTGCTTATGTAGCAGTGAACTCCGAGTCAGTTAAAAATCAATGAAAATGTGTGATGATTCAAGTCGGTAGAGGTTTTAAATGAATCGCAGTACACATTTTAAATTGCAGGGGTGTTTAAAATGTATACAGTACTCGCGTTACAGCAGTGATAGCAGCAAGTAAGTTGTAGTGTTAAGCAGTAGCATTTAGAGGTGTGGCAGCATTTTGAGACACCAAAGCTCCATAGCCACAACTGTGCTCACTGTCAAACAGATACTACTGGAGCTTCCAGCGCACGTTAATCACTGATGTCACCGCACACTGGAACAGCAGTCTGGATATGATCAAACGCTATCTCAAAAAGCAAACGGTTGTGACAGCGACTCTTCTAAGCAACGACGCTAGACGAAATGTCCGTGACCTTGATATCTCCGTCTCCTCAGACATCCATGATGCAGAGGACATGGTGAGGTTTCTTAAGCCACTCAAAACAGCCACTACTGTGCTATGTGATGAAAAAAATCCAACTCTGTCTCCCATTTAGAGGACTTATTTTAAATAAGTAATTGTTTTAAAAAGTAGTCTGCTTATATACGTAACAAAAAAATAAAGTAAATTTTGCACAAATTAAATTTGATATAAAATTTATATGAAAATGTAGCCATGTGCAGTAATATTGAAACCTGAGAATGTGACGCATCGGGATATTGAGTTGATAATGATAATCGTAATTGAATTGAATCGTGAAACCAGTGAAGATTCACACCCCTATTTTTAAGATGGCAGTACTGACTTACAGAGATTCCTATAAACAAAAAGCATAGAAACTGCAATTTTGGTTAAAATGTAAAGTTGTAAAGATGTATTTGCACAGCAGAAGAATTAATTAGGAAAAAATGTAGATCAAGAATCGTTTTGAAATCGGATTGTGACTCCCAGAATCGGATCGTAAAGTGACTAAAGATTCCCACCCCTACTCCCATTGTGCCCTTATAACATATGACTGAGCATAACATGGCATTCAACAAAGAAGACCCCCCCCCATTTCTTTCAGTAGCTGTCCACTCAAGTGGTGGAAAGAGAATGCTAGGCTGTAGCCACTGCTCTCCTCTGTAGCAAAAGCATACCTCTTCACACCAGCCACCTCTGTCCCTAGTGAAAGGGTTTTTTCATTAGCAGGGGACAATGTGAATGTGCAGAGATCAGAGATCTTATTTTCTGGAAGCTTGCAATGTAATCTTTATCAGGCTTTAAAATGTCCTCTCCACTGCCACTTCAAACTTTCAAGACTCATGTAGATGCTCTTTCCCCCAAGAGGCCAGGAAATGCAACCCTCTCTGGCTTTTAGAGACTTATTCAGTCTGTGCGTATATCCATGGGCTAATAAACTGTCTGTGACTTTGTAGAATAATGGCTCTGTGGTGTTCTCATAACATCAGTTACTCTCAGAAATGTATGTAATCCCGGTTCCCTAATGCTCAGTTCACACTGCACGATTTTCATAGTGGTCGGATCGCCATTGTTTTCACACTGCATGACTACCTGGGATAGCATTCAGTCGCTGCTGTGTTCATATTGCACGATGGATCGGCGACAGGAGGTTACACACTGCATGACTTTACAATAGGAAGAATCGCCGACAACTCTGTCTGGCCCGCAAACTATGTTTTACAACCAAACGTACGCTGGAAGTGATAAGGAAATGACGCAAGATCACGTGTGAGATCAGAGTTTTTTGCGTGAGACTGGAAATGTTATTAAAATGGTAGTTGGCTGTCGTCGCAGATAGCCTCGTGGGCAGCGCGTCGACATGTAGCGCCATTGCGCTTCGTCTGTGCGCTGATTTGCAGTGAAAGGCCGAAAAAGAAAAAAAGATTATGGATGAGGAAATGGTCGCGGGGAGCAAGGACTGCTGATATTGTGATCTATAACTCCTCCCCGAACTTCCCGCTGCCCTGGATCTTGCTCTCTCATTGGCTGTAGGTCATCGCCGATGTATTTTTCAGTCAGAACTCATTTCACACAATAGGATTTTGTGATTTCGCAGACAGGTCCAGATATTTAGCATGCCAAATATTTCATGGGTGTCGGCGTTTCTCTCAGATCAAGTCTTTGATAATTCACACTGCGTGATTGTCACTCGCGTGAACGAGTACCGAATTGCCTCAGATTTCGGGCATTTGTCGGCGAGTGAAAATCAGGGCTAAAAATCGTGCAGTGTGAACTCGGCACAAGTAGAACAAGAAACAAAGGGAACAAGACACTGCAAAGCTTTATCATACTCATTTTTTACTGCTATGATTCTACGGTAGAAAAAACGGAGAAGTGATGACATAGGCACTGGTGACTCAGTAGGCTGAATTTGTGCCATAATCCAATGAATTGGCATGATTCTATACAAGCATCACGCCTGGAGGTTCTTAACAGTAATGCTTTAAAAGTCTACATTTTTGATGTCTGTTAACCTGTTAACTTGTATTTGTCTTTTTCCCCTTTGCTTTAGACCTGATGCCACTGAAAGGGGAGAATCAAGAACTGAATGAAAATGAAGAGAAAGACCAGTGTGAGAAACATTTTGATTTAATAACTGTAGAAAAATCTTTAAGTTACTCAAAGACTGAAAGGACTTCTTCACAAAAAAGAGATCAACCAACAGGAATAATGAGTTATTTTATCTGCAGTCAGTGTGGAAAGAGTTTCAGTTACCTTGGAAACCTTAAAGTCCACCAGAGAATTCACACTGGAGAGAAGCCTTACACATGCCATCAGTGTGGAAAGAGTTTCACTCAAATAGGAACCCTTAAAGTCCACATGAGGATTCACACCGGAGGGAGCTCTTTCACCTGCCAACAGTGTGGAAAGAGTTTCACCCAAAAAGGAAGCCTTAAAGTCCACATGAGAATTCACACTGGAGAGAACCCTTACATCTGTGATCAGTGTGGGAAAAGTTTCAATCGAAAAGAGTCCCTTACGACTCACATGAGAATTCATACTGGCGAGAAGCCTTACACGTGTCCTCAATGTGGAAAAAGTTTTACACATAAAGTAACACTTAATGCTCATATGAAAACTCACACTGGAGAGAAGCCATTCGTATGTGGTCAGTGTGGGAATAGTTTCAGATGTAAACGAAACCTTAATAAGCACATGAGGATTCACTCAAGAGAAATCCATTTTATATGTTATCAGTGCGGTAAACATTTCATCGATGAAAATCGCCTTAGGAATCACGTAGTGAGTCACACTGGAGAGAAGCCTTTTATGTGCCATCACTGTGGAAGGTCTTGTACAAACAAGTCAAACCTTGTGGTTCACATAAGAATTCACACTGGAGAGAAGCCTTTCACATGTATTCATTGTGAAAAGAGTTTCACAAATCAAGGAGTCGTGAATCGTCATTTGCAAACTCATTCTGAAAAGAAACTGCAGTGTTCCTCAGTGTCACAGTGTTAACAAAATATCAAAAATCACTTGTGTGTTCATTTTGAAAGAAAACTCAAAGTAGAATGTGGTAAGAAGATTACCTTAACATTTGCAGATACACCTGAGAAGTCATGTAGATGTGAGACCCTGTTTGTAGGTCGACAGTCTTTAATGGCATCAGAAATATGCATCTGTGGTAAATTCATTTTGTGTGTATCTGGAGCCCGGTCTCATGAAAATGCGTATAAATAGTACGCCAAATAAAAACGAAAACTCGTGGTATTGATATGCAAAAATGGACTTTGGCGTGCATATGATACGCATGTGTTTGTCGTGCATATAATAGGCAGTTTTCGCGTGCATATGATACGCAGTTTTCGCATACATATGATACGCATCTACCCCACAACCCTAAACCTACCCATCGCGTAGCATATACACGCCAAAGTCCATTTTTGCGTATCAATACCACAAGTTTTCGTTTTTATTTGGTGTACTATTTATACGCACTTTCATGAGATCGGGTTGGTATCTGAGGTGTCCCTCAGAATCGAATTATTATATAAATTGTAAATTATTATATAAATCTTGCTGTGAAATGAATGAAAAATGATGAATAAAATGACAAATTCAATGGTTTGATTTATTTATTTGATGTATTTTTAGTGAGAGAATGCACAGGAAAACATATGTTGTCAGTCTGGACTTGAATATAGCGGGGGTCATCTGGAAGCTAGTTCCAGTTGTGGGTTGCATAATAGCTAACCACTGTTTCACAGTCTCTGTGTCCATTTTGTTTCTTTTTTTAATATAAAAAAATATTTGCATTTTTTGCACTAATTAGTTTGTCCACAAGGTTGCAACGTTGGCTCAGGCCATTGTTTTGCAGTCAAAAAAAGAAACAGTGGAGACAAGGAACAACAATAACAAATAGATGCTTGCAATGACAAGTGTTTGTGTGTAGGGGGGTTCAGAGATACCCGCAACAAGTTTAAAAGAGTATAAAGACATTTTATTTGGAACCAGACCATTTGAGCGACTGGATCTTAAACTGATGACAAACAGCTCATATCTGTCTCTGAAAGTTACTGAAGTCACACGTGAGAACCCGCAACATGCTAGATGTGTGTTTTTTCTTTCTTTCTATGGTTTCAACAGAAATATGATTCTCAAAAGCGTAGTCTAAATTGGTTTTGTTGCATCGTCTTGGCTTAGCCAGCATATGAAGGGCCTGTTCGACCAGCATATGGTCTAATCCCCCTGGCCCAGCCTGCTGAGGAGGAATCTCCTCAGGTAAGCTGGGGGCTGAATCTTGCATCGCAATTGAGAACTGTGAAATCTGCATATCTGAGCTGTGTTTCTCAAAAGCATCATGAGCTAAGTTGTTGGTAGAGATAATTGGTGGCAATGGTTCTATGATCTACTTAGGCTTATGATGCTTTTGGGAAATGCAGCCCTGGCTGCTCAGTGGAGCCCATCAGCGTCGGTTACGCTACCATAACTGGCATTAAACATGATTATTAAAGTGAGAGCTCCATCTTCTACAGTAGGTACTTCTACGCTTATAAGTGAAAAGTACCACCAGTTCTTTAAGAACTGGTGCTGCTTAAAGCAGAAGAACCCAGTCATTTGCTGGAAACCAGTTATTCCATCAAAAGTCTCCACTTGGGGAAATTGATTTGGTTTCGAAAGCTTTGGAAAGTCCCCACATCGAGCCACTTCAGTGGGCATCTTTAAGAACATCCTCTCTCAAAACAGCGCGTTTGCTTTTACTTGTCTCTGTTAGGAGAGTAAGAAGCATACATGTCCTCTTAGTTAATGAATCATGGATGGAATTTGAGCTGTAGAGCAGTGGTTCCCAACCCTGGTCCTGGAGGCACCCCAACACTGTACATTTAGCATGTCTCCTTTCTCTGACACCAATTTCAGGTCTTGGAGTCTCTACTAATGAGCTGATGACCTGAATCAGGTGTTTGATTAAGGATACATGCAAAACGTGCATAGTTTGGGAACCACTGCTGTAGAGTCATACTCCAGCCCTACATGTCTATATTGACCACACTATGCAGTTTAGGCTCTTTGAGCAGCTGTTTGTGTGCTTTGGTGGATGCACTAAAGCTGGGGTGCCCAATCATGTTCTTGGAGCTCTATCTACCTGCAGACTTCAGTTCTAGCCCTGATCAAACACAGCTGTCTGTAATTATCCATTGCTCCTGAAGATCTTAATTAGCTTGTTCAGGTGTGTTTGATCAGAGTTGGAGATGAACCTTGAAGGAAGGTAGATCTCTAGGAACAGGATTGAGCACCACTGCACTAAAGCAGGTCTTCAACCCTGCTCCTGGGAACCCACCATCCTTCAAAGTTTATTTCCAACCTGCTTCAGCACACTTGCCTGTGTATTTTCAAGTGATCCTGAAACGTTTAATTAGCTGGTTCAGGTGTGTTTGATTAGGGTTGGAGCTGAACTCTGCAGGATGGTGGGTCCCCAGGAGCAGGGTTGATGACCACTGCACTAAAGGGTTTCCAGTGTCAAAGCAGAGGCTATCCCATTGGATTTTTGAATGCAATAACTTTGGCTTACAATTCACAGAATGTGGATTGCCCCATTTGTGCCAGAGCACACTCCACACGGATTATAGCTTCTAGTGATGCAAAGTCCGATTCATTTCCGTGAACCGCTTCTTTTCGGACGGATCGGCTCATTGAACTGATTAAAAAAGCCGATTCATTGGTTCCTGACGTCATCAAGCAATAACGTCTACGCATTTCTTTTCTAACAACTCGGTGCCATGTTGTATCAATGGAAAATTCAAATAAGTCATTTGTGTCAACAAATATTGAAACATTCAAAAAATATAGTTATTTGTGTGAAAGCATATTGCTGATTATTGCCATATAATTAACTTAAGTTAATGGTGTTTGTGGTCACAGTTTCATTCGCGGATCCTTTGTCAGATACGACTGACTGAGCAATATTGACTAGCCTACAACTTGGATAAGATTCCTAAAAGTTTCACACCTACAGCACACATTACAGACATTGATGCACAAACGCGGATATGTTCTACATGTCGACAGTATAAAGAATGAATAAACCTTATAAACTCTTATACATTTTGTCTTATAAACTCCTTGATTTCGCTTAAGCAACTTTAAATAGTGATCTTGAAGACATTCGCTGGGTTCGAAACCGGATACTTCCCTACTATGTAGAAGGCAAAAAGCAGTAGGCAAGCGAATAAGTTTGAATCCTCAGTATTCATAAAACAGTAGGTGAGAATTACCTGGCTGGTGCACTAATTCTAGCGAGATTCGAACGCACGTATACTTGTTGCATTCGAATATGCCTACTTACCTACTATATAGGAGAAAAGAGTATGTGAAGAAAGATGTTCAAAACCTCAGTATTCGTAAAAGAGTATGCGAGAAATCTACGGATTTCCTACTGCTTCAACCCAGATTATGAAGTGTGCGTTGATGGACACTTTTCTATCCCAGGGGGCCACGGGAGAACATACAGGCCATAATCAAACAGGGCGGAGAACAGAGGCATCTGCCTATGGGTAAACTACCACAGCCAGCAGCACAATGTGGTGTTGTCTTCTAATTATTATTATTATTATTATTAAGAATAATAATAATATCTCTATCATGTTTTATGTGTATATTTCCAAATACTCTGGCAACGTGATCTCTGGAACAGGTGATTGCAGTCATGTGTCTGTATTAAAATAAACGGAAAACATGTTTTAAGGAAGAAATTAAATAATAACCAGCATTTTGAGTGTCTTGTTAATCATATTTGCTTTAATATAAAAGCAACAGAACTGAACTGACATCGAGTTTGTCCGTTTTGACTGCAGTTTTCTTCCCTCCCCTCACTGAAGCCACCTTTTAAGGCGAGGCGCATCTCAAACGAGCAGGCAATGCGGAAATAAAACAACATCAATATTGAGTGATAGGAGTCACGCAACAGCTCACTGGTGAATGGTCGAAACATCTGTCCTAATAATTAAATGCTTCTATGTCCATACGCGAAAGACACACATATTGGAATCGTCTTTACATTATCTAAATGTTTTGTCTGACAAAATTGTGCCACGTAGTCTGTGGCTGGCTGTGTACGGAGAAAATGATGGATGTGTTTGCTAAGACGTCGCAAAATCCGACAGCACTGCTCGGATATTAGGAATAAAGTTGCCGTCTTCTCTCTAAAAAATAGCATTGGAGGCGGTGTCGTTTTGTTTCTAAGATAATAGGTTTACAACCTACACGGTGCTTAATTTCTTGAGAAGGATCTAAACAGAATTATAAGTTTTATATGTCAGTGATAGCGAGTTGGTGTCACTTTATAATAATGTTAATTTATGAGCCATTTAAAACTGTTAAAAACTATTAATTTAATGACCAATAATGTACATTTGTAGATGATTTTTATTTTTCCCAATACCACTGCTTGTGTGGTATTAGTTAACTTTATCATACATTATAAATATTAAAACCAAAAACACATACAGGGATATTTTTGATATTCTCATAACTACAATTATAGGTGCATTCTATAGGCTTCATCACACAGTCAATGCTTTTGGACTCTCGAGGCATGTTTTTGTTTGTTTTTGCAAAGTGAGTGACCACTCGATAATGTCAGCTCGCATATCGTGAAAACAATTATTGTGATTGGCAATAAATATCGAACATCCCTAAGACAGGTGTGCGTCTTTACAAATCATGTCCAGTCAAATGAATTTTCGACAGATTTATGCCAATGAAAGTGTAGACATCTGAAATATTTGAAAAATTATTTAAAGCATTTTAACATTAGCAATATAAAGTGTGAAAAAATGACAAAGAGGCAAAACTTATGGACTGCAGCTTTAAGCATCAAATAGCTAAAATTAAATATAACTCCGTCATGAATAACTTTGCCTTCAGAGCGTTGTTACATTGCAGGTCTGTCAGTTCCATCTGAATGTCCATTGGTGCGCTGTCCATATCAACTGCAAACAAATTGCTAAAAAGTCTCAACTTCTGCAAATCTTCATGTAAAGTTATATAAGTTTTTTAGCAAAGTGTGCACTTGAATTTCTGGGACACAATACATAAGAATAAGCTACATTAGCGGCTAAATTAGCTCAGCATGCTAACTAATGTGTTTGTGTACTTATTCTCAACTTGGAAGCTCTCTTCGGCAGCAAGGCAACATGTGTTCCCTGCATGCCTCACAATATGGAAATATTCTTCCTGCTGTTATGCTTAATATTCTCAACCTGAAAATCATGTACACACACTGGGCCTCATTTATCAGTCTAACGTAGAAACGAACGCAGATCCGTGCGCACAAATCAACTTACGACAGAGTTCACGTGTGATTCATGAAACATTCGTATTCCGCCACTCTCATCGTACGAATGATCGTATTTTGATAAATGTGGCAGCAGAAAACAATCGTTATTTGCATATCACGCCCCTAAAAACAGCCTGGTTTAGAAGCCTCGCCCCTAGAGTTTGTCTACAGTATAAAGAATGAATAAACCAGTCTTATAAACTCCTTGATTTCGCTTAAGCAACTTTAAATATAATATGCATGCACAATAAACTATTGTAAAATTTATTTACATCACTCGACAGAAAGGTTTTTGCAGGTTGTAATAAAATGTAAATTAATAACAGTCATAACAAGCCTATTTCCAGTACACGCCTCAGGCTTGCACAGTATTGTCAACTCACTCAATCAGAATCTTCGGTAATCCTCGGCAAACTTCGCCACGGCTCATTCGGTTCTTGTTGAGTCCTCGGTAATCCTCGGCAAACTTCGACAGTGCGTCCTGCGTCATCAACCCGGAACTAAAGTTTGATTCAGTTCGATTTGTGAACCGGCTCGACCGGTTACTTCCTGAGAACCGGCTCAAAAGAACGATTCGTTCAAGAACCTAACATCACTACTGTTTGCCCCAGCCTGGACTATTGCTCGTGTTTACAGATTACTACCCCTTTTGTCAAGCCCTCTGGATTTTGTTCGCCGATCGATGACCCACGCCTACCCTAGGAATACTCTTTGTCTTGCCTCATTCATGACTGTTTGCTGATTATTGACCCATGCCTGTTTGTGACCACGCCTATGAATAAATCTCTGCATATGGATCAGCACGCTTCCTCTGTTCCTTCTGTAACAGATCCTATATATTTTATTCCTTTTATAGACTTAATTTCTGTTTTTCTCCGTTCACAGAAGCGCTACAGCTGCATGATGCGACGATGTGTGAATCCTCATGGTCTGTTGTTTACGCTGCTGTTCGCGCATATAAAGCTAAAGCTGTATATTAAAAAAAAATTGACATTCTAATCTTACTGGTTAACGATCGACCAATGAGCTTCGGTTGTCGGTCAGGAAAATAACCTAAATGAACAAAATGCTGTCATTCTACAATTCTCCACCGTATTTACTATACTGCGCGCAAGTTCAGGTAACTCAAAAACTTGCGTACACGAGCTGAGACCAGACGTGAGATTTGATCGTAGCCACCGCTCACCGCTCACCTACATATTGATAAATTCCAAGTTTTGTATTGAAACGATGGTACGCCCAATTTTCTGTCGTACGTTCATTTCGTAAATGAGGCCCAGCGTCTTTACTGCAAATAAACCCTGGCAATTCTGAGTTTAGCAATCTCCAGTGCAGTATTCTTCTCAAAGAACTTGTGCTATTTGCTGCTAATCTGCAGGCAAATGGTCTGTTATAAACTGCAATAAATACAAACATCTTGACTGTAACGATTGTGATTGTGGGTATTAAATAATAATAACATAAGAACACTTACGCAACTTCTGTGCCATTTAAAAAGTCTGGGTCTGTTTATACATGCTTTTTGTTGTTTTAGTAATAAAACATAAATTGGAAATTTCATTGTTGAGCTTCTGAGAGAAGCTTCCTGTTTTGCCAGTTTTCATTCATGTAGAGGGTGTTTTAAATTATATAATAAACTTAACAGGAAAGTAGAGATGATTTATTAGAATCAATACACTGCTAGGCCTATCTTTGGCTTAAAAATTGGATAAGAAAACAAATACTGAATATTGACCCATGAAACCTTATGCTACTACTGTTATATAGTAAACAGCTGATTTTCGGCTCTGGAGAAATTATAAATTTAATATGAAATATATTATTATAATAATATGATATCATATATCAAGTAATTACTTATTAATCATTTACTAGTGATTTATTATTTCATCATTTACAGAAACGTATTACTTTAATTATCTACAAATTATATTAATGTTTAATAAATTATAAGTTCCTTGTTAAAGGACTAGTTCATCCAAAACTGTCCCGTAAAACGAAAATTTCCTGATTATTAACTTATTTACTACAATTTTTATAGTGTGACTCAAAGGATTTCCATTTGAAGAATAAACATTTTTCTAACAGAACATAAAAAAAGTCTGGGCCTGTATTTAAGCTGTTTATTGTGTCTCAGCTGTATTGAGAATGACACACACACAGCTTTACTTTCTTTGTGTTGTTCTTCTTGTTTCTGCTGTGTGAATAGGAATGATCAGTCTGCAGAACTGCAGGATTCCCACCGACTAGTAAATGATGGTCTACAGAGAGTAAAAGACCAACACAAAGTCAGCATGAAGAACAAGTATGAGAGCTTATTTGAGGTAATCAAAATACAAAAGAATCAAACCCTCCTGAACAGCATCTACACACTCTACATCATAGAGGGAGAGAGTGGAGGGGTGAATGAAGAACATGAGGTTTTACAGATGGAGAAAACACCCAGAACACATCTATTGAACACAAGAACACATCTACAGAACACAATCTACTGTAATGATATATTCAAACCCTCAACTGAAACAGCATGTGGGACGAAAGACAAAATCAAGACTGTTCTTACTAAAGGCATCGCTGGAATTGGAAAAACCGTCTCTGTGCAGAAGTTCATTCTGGACTGGGCTGAGGGACAAGCCAATCAGGATGTAGATTTCATGTTTGTGCTTCCTTTTCGAGAGCTGAATTTGATTCGAGATCATCAGTACAGTCTTCACAGACTTCTGCTGGACTTTCATCCTGAACTTCAAGATCTCGGCTCCGAGATTTACGAGGAGTGTAAAGTTGTGTTCATCTTTGATGGTCTGGATGAAAGCAGAATGACTCTGATGTTTTCAGACAATGAGAAAGTTTCTGATGTGACTCAGACTTCATCAGTGGGTGTGTTGATATCAAACCTGATGAGAGGAGATCTGCTTCCCTCTGCTCTCATCTGGATCACCTCCAGACCAGCAGCAGCCAATCAGATCCCTTCCAAATACATCAACCGTGTGACAGAAATTCAGGGATTTAATGACGCTCAGAAGGAGGAATATTTCAGGAAGAGAATCAATGATGAGAATCAAGCCAGCAGAATAATTTCACACATCAGAAGAGCAAGAAGCCTCCACATCATGTGCCACATCCCCGTCTTCAGCTGGATCTCATCCACTGTTCTTCAAAAGCTCCTGAAAGAAGATGTGAGTGCAGAAATCCCTCAAACTCTGACTGAAATGTACATCCACTTCCTGCTGATTCAGATAAACATGAGGAATCAGAAGTATACAGAGACAGATACAGAGAAACTTCTGCAGTCCAACAGAGAAATGATTGTGAAACTTGCTGAACTGGCTTTCAATCAGCTGATGAAGGGTAATGTCATATTCTATGAGGAGGACCTGAAAGAGAGCGGCATAGACGGGACTGACACCTCTGTGTATTTTGGGATTTGCACTGAGATCTTTAAGGAGGAATTTGTAATTCATCGAAGAAAGGTCTACAGTTTCATACATCTGAGCTTTCAGGAGTTTCTAGCTGCTTTCTATGTGCTTTACTCCCATCTGATGAAAAACAGGGAGCCATTGCAGTGCTTTCTGGGTGACAAACCTGAGCTGTGTAGATATAAGAGAAAAAGGTACATAGCTATGAGAAACTCTTTGTGTGAGCTACTAATATCAGCAGTTGATAAAACCCTTCACACTGAAAATGGAAACCTGGATCTTTTTCTGCGGTTCCTGCTGGGCATCTCACTGGAGTCCAATCTAGATCTTTTAAATGAACTACTGTCATACACAGAGAGCAGCTTAAATAGCATCAAGGGAATTCCTTTGTACATAAAAGATAACATCAAGGGATATGAACATCTTTCAGCCAACAAATGCACGAGTCTGGTCCTCTGTCTGCTGGAAATGAATGATCAGACTCTGTACAGAGAGATTCAGGAGTTGGTGAAATCTGACAAATGCTCATTGTTGCAATTCTCTCCTGCTCACTGCTCAGCGATCGCCTACACACTTCAGATGTCAGAGGAGGTGCTGGATGAGTTTGATCTAATGAAATACAGAACAGCAGATGAGAGTAGATTAAGACTGATACCAGCTGTGATGAACTGCAGAAAAGCTCTGTAAGTACATTGGTGTAAAGTACTTGAGTAAATGTAATTAGTTACAGTACTTAAAGGGTTAGTTCACCCAAAAATGAAAATGAGCCCATGAATAACTCACTCTTAAGGCATCTTAGGTATATATGACTTTCTTCTTTCAGACGAATCCAGTCCGAGTTATATTAAAAATTGTCTTTGATTTTCCAAGCTGTTTAATGGCAATCGATGTGTTTTTGCAAGAAAAATAACCATATTTAAAACGTAATAATAAATTTAATCTAGCTTGCGCTCACTGTTGTACACGGAAGCAGCTCCGGGCGGATGACGTAAAGGCCCGTTCACACCAAGGACGATAACTATAAAGATAACGATAAAGATAGATTTCTAAAAATCGTTCTCAATATTAAAGAATAGCAGTCCACACCACAACTATAACGATAAAGACAAAGAGAAACGATATCGTTGGAATCGCTTTCAAAACGATTTTTCTCCAGCTGATGAACAATAAAAAATTGACAGCCAATTCTGCTGTAACGAGCTCGAGAATTTAAAGTGGCAGACGAGCATGCACGTAGAATAAACAGACGATATCGTTTGCTGGTGTGGATGCTAATATCGTTATCTTTATAGTTATCGTTCTTGGTGTGAACAGGGCTTAAGATGTCGGCGTTGCGCATGCGCTGCTCGGAAGTGACGATCACGGAAGCGCAGGGGAGAGATCAAAACAAAACAACGGTCACAAATTAGAAGTACAAAACGAGGATTTGTAAAGAAGAATGTCGGAGGATTTCGATATAAGCCAAGAGGAGACTAGTTTTCCTTAAAGTAAGGACACTTTCCTTCTTTTGCTCCTGTAAACAAACGTCGGTTTTCACGAGACTCACCGGCGCATGCGCAACGCCGACATCTTACGTCATCCTCCCGGAGCTGCTTCCGTGTACAACTCTTGGCGCAAGCTACATTAAAGTGATTATTACGTTTTGAA